TTCAGCCTGCACCCCACCATCCTACCCCTCAATTTACCTTGGATTTACCCTGGAAAAATCTGAAAAGCTACAAAATCCTGTTGTGGACCCACTCACAGTGAAACACACCCCCCCCCAAGGGAGCAAGGCCTGAGCCAAGAAGGTGAACAAACTGGACAGGATAATCATGTAATGGCCCAGCGGGGTGGAAAAGAAGAGTTTGGATTTGATATCCTGCTTTATCACTACCCAAAGGAGTCTCAAAGCGGCTAACATTCTCCTTTCCCTTCCTCCCCCACAACAAACACTCTGTGAGGTGAGTGGGGCTGAGAGACTTCAGAGAAGTGTGACTGGCCCAATGTCACCCAGCAGCTGCATGCGGAGGAGTGGGGAAGCGAACCCAGTTCACCAGATTACGAGTCCACCGCTCTTAACCACCACACCATGCTGGCTCTGGTATCATTTTGTCTGGCATGTACCCCAGATCAATGTAATATACGATAATATACACCCCTTATTTATGCAGCCAAATGCTCTGCCACTGAGCTATACTCCCCCACACCCATTATTTATGAACATAAGGATCATTTCTTTATGCCCAGCAGGATCAGGCCAAAACCCCACCTAGTCCAGCATCCTCTTCTCACAGTGGTCAACCAGATGCCAAGAAAAGATTGAAACACAGCAGAATTCTCTCCGCTTGTCGTTCTAAGCAACTGGGGAGGAATTCAGCTACATGCTGCTGCAAATGTACTGTCAGCACAAGGATTCCTGCTTGCCACATGGAACAATCTCCTCTCCTCCCCACGCATGCTGTTCTGGGGGTTCTCCCACCTCACCCCCTGGAGCCAATTTGGGGGGTGGGGAGCGGAGGAAGGGGGGAAGCCCTATTGCTCCAGCAGAAGTCCTTGCATGCCCTTCCACTAGGAGGACCAGTTAGCTGAATATGACCCTCCATATTCAGAGGTTTGCTGCCTCCAGTACCGGAGACAGAACATAACCACCATGGCTGATGGCCATTGATAGCCTTATCTTGAATTTGCCATATGTGTGGAGGACAGACACCCACCCACCCACCCACCAGGTCTCTGGTTCTGAGGTGCTGTACCCACTACAGTGCAGTGTGGCTAAGAAATGTCCATTCAAATGAAGGCGCGAGGCTACGCAGAGACAGACTGTTTCAGTTCCCAGTGACTCTCACCCTGTGGGGTGAAATAAATGGAGGTGGGACCCACGCCAGATACGTAATTATGTCAACAGGAACAAGGACCAGAGGGCAGCCCTGCTTCATTAACATCTAGCATGTAAATTAGAGATGGGGATGTTGTTGGACTCCAACTCCCATCAGCCCCAGCCAACATGGCCAACAAGCAGGGATGATGTGAGTTGGAGCCCGAACAATGCATGAAAAGCCCCAGTTTTCCCATTCCTCTTCAAAGTGGCTGCCTCTCACTCCTACAAGAAATGAATGAGGGCAAAGCCATCTTAAGGACCCCCCTCCCTTCACACCCGCCCTGCTTGTCATGATGTGCATTTTGCTGGTCCTATATTAATTCCACTTCTGTTTATCTGAAGTGGAATTAAGATTATTAGCTGACTGCTTCAATAACAGACATTTCAGTACTAATACATAACTGTCAAGTATAACAACATCTGGCAGAGTTCTGTTTAGCCGGACAAATTGTTAAGAGTCAATGATTACAACCTGCAATAAACAGAGATTAGCAACTTATTATTGTACTGAATTAATGTTTTGCGGCTTTTAGGACCTGTGTGGGCTGACTGTTCCACTGAAATGTTTCAGTGCCATGGAAACGCCGGTAGATATTTTCTCTTAATTGCATGAATGGCTGACAGATAACAGTGCAGCACTGTGGAATTAAGTCCTTGATTGCTGGTGAATTGTGCCCAGAGTGGGGAGCAAAGAGAGCTGCGCACTGAATTGGCATGAAGGAAGGCCACAACTTGGTTGCAAATGTACAGACATCCAAACAGCTGGGCTCTACCAAGACACAGGCAGACTTGAGGTTCCAGTTGCCTTAGACCAAGTCAGAACACTGGTCCATATATCATAGAATTGCCTCCAAGGTTTCAGGCAGGAGTCTTTCTGAGCCTGACCTGAAGATGCCAGGGATTGAATGCAGATGCTCTGTCGCTGAACTACCGGCTTCCCCTGTACTAATGTCCTTTTTTTCTTTAAAAAAAATATGTTTAGGGGTTAGTCTCCTTTTGACTCAAGAAAATCACCATTTCATAGTTCGAATCGGGAAAAATACAGTAAATGGACAAAAGTACAGATTCACAAAATGTTTAGGGGTATGCGTACCCCCCTCCCCGAAAAAAAAACACTAAATGTAACCCAGCCTACAAGCTATCAATAGCATAACAGGGAGGCAGTTTATTACTCAGCAAAGCGCACACCAAGATCCCTGGCAAGTAGCTGGAATGCCTTGCGTGGTATTATTCAGTTTGCTGACAAACAGAAAGTCATTCAGGTAATGGGGAATGTGACCAAGCCTTTTTGACAGTCACTGGGAAAGAAGGTGAACATTTTGAATGCAGCACAAGTTATCGAGCAACCCCGTGGATGTGACTTTGTTGTAGCAGTACTTCCTCTCAAAAGAATTCTAACGAGGTAAAGCCTGCAGAACCACAGGAAGCAACCAGAAGCCATTTATATACTAAAAAATCATACATGTAAAATTCACTGTCCCAGAACTGGGTTGTAAGTCCTGGAAGACCTGCTTCCATGCCTTGCAGGCCTCTTTTTCACCTGGCTGGGAGAGCAGGGCCCTGACTGACTCCAGCTACAAAACCTGAGTCTGCTGAACAGAATATTGGGGCGGGGTATTGTTTATGGAGGTTGGGGAGGGATTGTTACTGTTAATTTTTTGTACCTTCATTTTGGATCTTGTGATTTGGGTCTTATGATTTATGTGGAAATTGTTCAATTTGGTCGTGTACTTTTTGATGTTTTCTCTGTTGTTTATGGCCACTTGTGTTATATTTGTAGCTATATAATTTTAAATGCCTTGAGCATGGCTTTAACTTTAGAAAGGCAGCATACAAACAAAATGATTGATTGAAGAAGAAGCTCACATTAGTTACAGTGCCTCTTTGAAAAGCAGGTCTGACATCATAGTTCTTTACACTCAAAACTTTTGTGTTTAGCGAGTCCAGGTGCCTAAAAGTAGAATTTCTAAGGGTTAAGAAAAAAGAAAAAAATCAGCATGGATCTTCAAATCACCGGGCCTGTGCAGCTCAAACTCCCAACTGGGAAAGTAAAGATTAATATAAATACAGCATGACTTGGTCTGATCATTGAGTAAAAGAGTGTTAATTCCCTGTGCAGCTAATGCTCAATCTGAATTCAAATCATTATAGCTCAATCAGCTCCCATGCCTAATAACAGCAGTATTAATGTCCCCAAACCAGTAATATTAACATTAATAATTGGCGTTATTAGCACATATCAAAGGGAGAACTACATTCCTTGGATTGCAAGCAGAGCTCAGTTAAGGAACAAGACCTTATAGCCAAGAGAAAGTCTCTGGTAACAAGAAACTTATTCTTAGTACCCTTTAAACGAGAATTGTTTTTTCCACTAATGGTTACCATGAAGCTTTACGCCCCCAGAAACTGTTCTCTGACTAGATGGATGTGGGTAGTTTGGCACACTTCCGTAGCATTACTCAAATCTGTTGGATTTTATTTTCACCTCATTACATTACTCTTACCATCTTCGACAGTTCTCATATTTTAAATTCATTTGTAGTCTAAATTTAGAGCTGTCGAAAGTGGAGAAACCGAGGTTTGGGGGGGGGGAATATGCCTCAAAACCAACTTAATTATAACCGCATATATTGTCATAAATTTTCATAACACTGTATAAAAGCTTATATAAGCACCTTCCTGATAAATAACAAAGAGCAGCAGGAATAGAGGATATACAAGGAACGGGTAAAAAAGGGGGGAAAGTGTTCCTTCAGTCATAGATCTTCTTTAAAAAAAATCTATTGAAAATACCAGATTAACTGAAATATGGACTTGACTTTTGTCAGGAGGATTTCATCAATCCCCATATTGGAAGATAAGAAATAATTCTTTACTTATAACAAAAGAGGAAGTATTTCTCTGGTCTATGTGTCTTAATTCTCTTGCTTATTTTATGAACCTAGTAATCATTGGCAGTCTAGATCCTAGGCCAAACTCTCAAATCATTGGTGGTCTAGAGCAGTGTTTCCCAACCTTGTGCCTCCAGCTGTTTTTGAACTACAACTCCCATCATTCCTGACTAGCAAGACCAGTGGCAAGGGATGATGGGAATTGTAGTCCAAAAACAGCTGGAGGCACAAGGTTGGGAAACACTGGTCTAGAGCCTAAGCCAAACTCTCAACTCTGACTATGAAGTTGTCCTGCCCTTCCCCATTTCTGCTATGGAATTGCCCTGCCCCACCTCCCATTGTACTGAAACTTATCAGCAGTCTGCTTTGGATGGTGGCTGTGATCACAGCAGCATCTCCCCCAGTGGGGCAGAGCCACAGCCACCACTACCAGTTGCATATACTGGCCAGGGAAGAGTGAGGCAGAGATGATGTTCTAACTCGCTACCTCTCCCCGCCACCAACCTCAAAGTGGGTTTAAGTCAGGCATAGGCAGACTTGGCCCTCTGGATGTTTTGGGACTACAACTCCCATCATCTCTAGCTAACAGGATCAGTGGTCAGGGATGATGGGAATTGTAGTCCCAAAACATCCGGAGGGCCCAGTTTGGCCGTGCCTGGTTTAAGTGAAACAAGTTACATGGCAAAACTTAACCAAGATATAAGCTACAAACTAGGTGCAATCCCAGGCTGAAGTGGGATGTTTTGGGCAGCAGAGATCTCCTGAAATGCCTTGTGTTATCCTGTCAGGTTTTGGGGGATCTGATCCCTCCCACTGTGGCAGTCAAGAAGCAGATAAACCAGAAGAATTCTTACCAAGTCTTTTGTTTAGTTTTCACAGAGAGAATTATCTTAGATAATGGCGTTGCTCGGGGTAAAGTTCCACACACACACACCCCGTCTCTACTATTATACGTCATCTCTGCCTCTAAGCTTTCTGTTCTTCTACTCTCAATGCACGCCGGGTCCTGGGAGAGGGTGGGTCAGGAATGCTTTCTAAAGACACTGAGTCTGTCAGCTGTCTCTCCCCTGGTGCATCTTCTTCCTGCTGCCCCTCTCCTAATATTTCCCAGCTTCTCCCCTCTGCAGCCTCTGAACTATGACCTTCTGCAAACCACTGTTGTAAATCTATACTGTCCTCCTCTTCTCGGGAAGGTTCAAGAAGAGGGGGGTGGTCCACCATTTCTCCTCAGTCCAGCCCCTGGCATGCTTTGGATGCACAGATAATAGAAAAAGTGCTGCATACAAGTTTGCTGCATGCCTGCAGGACTTTCCTCTACATAGAATCTAGAATCCTGCACCAGGAGCCCTCCTGATGTAGAGCTCTGTGTGTTGGCTTCCTATAGGTCGTCTAGTGATCACAGCGGTTTTGTAAAGATAAGCAAGCTAAGGCATATTCTGAGTACTGTCCAAGGAAATTCTAAGTACTGTACAATAACTACATGGGTTCCCACCCCGCCACCCCTGCAATCATCCACTCCTACTGGTTTGAAAGACTGTCAAAATGGGACTTAAATGGAGTGTGGTATAAGTTCTGACACTATACCCTTCAAATACAATTGGTATTTTATTCCGTGATCTAGTAAAGGATTGCATCTTCTGCATGAGGACTACCGTGTCAGGGCTGCTCAAACAGGATCTTCTTGCAACTTTTCCTACTGTGATAATGCAAAAACTCTTGATTAAACATGTCAGGGGATGAAAAGTAAACCACTTGAAAATCAGCATATTTTTATCAGGAGTCGCAGCAACAGCTGATTAAAAGCCAGGAGAAAAGATGAGCCGTGGCTGAGTGGAAGGGCTTCAGCTTTGTATTCAGAAGATTCCTAGCTCGATCTCCAGGTCGGGCTGGGAGAGTTCCCCATCTGAAAGCGTGGAAGGTCATGGACATGCAAAAGTGAACTAGGTAGAACAACGGTCTTGTTAAGTTGTGGGTGAACATATCAGACAACACAGCGATTCTTCAAACAGCTCTTGTTTATTCACAGGCCAGAACAGAAGTGAACTGAAGGGTTCAGCCAGCCTGCTTATATAGAGCTCCACATCCAATCACTGAACATCACTTTCAATCCCTTATTTGCAGATGTGGACTT